CAGAATATCAAAGGAAAAGTTCACATAAAGGATCAGTTGCTTGGCTGAGTGACTGCATCGATAAAGAGAGCGTGCCAGAATCGCTAATAGTAAGATATGAATGAACAATGGCTGCCATACAGTGCACGGTACTTCTACCGTAGATCCCCGTCTTTCTACCACTTTCTGTTACATGCCTCTGCTCCAATTTATAACTTTGAACCGCCTTTCTATCCCCACAACTGCTGAAAACAAAGGCCACTCAGTACGTGTGGATCAGAGGAGACAATATCACTCAGTAAATCAACACATATACCACCTTAAGTGGGGTTAACTCAGCTTTTGTCTTACATAAAAATAGTCTCCATACAGTTACTATTTTGACATATATTGTCCAAATACTGGTGCATCTTAATAGCTTGAAAAGGTACAATGCACACAGGGAAACACTAAACTTGCCTTCGTCCTGCACACTGCAGTGCTCCTAATTCCTTCCTACTGAAACAACATGTAGTAGATTCTGACAGAGGAAGGATAAGATAAGATGGATCTTAATATATCCAGAGGGAAATGGCTGTGCAGCAGTTGCAATACAAAGCAGGAAGGAGGGCGAATATCTTTAGTGCAAATACGAACAAGAAAAATACATGACGTGCACATGTCCGAAATATAAATAGGTTAAGTGTGAGATGCAGATCCGAACTATACACACAATGCCAAAATAAACAAGTTAACAGTAATATAACAAAAAGTAAGCAGGTTAAAAGGAAGGAGAAAGTTGAGGAATTTAAAGTAAGAGCCGGTACGTCACATGCCGCACAAGTTTGTGTTGATTTATATATTAACTATCTCCCCTACCAAACCCTCATCCATCTGTTTTAGCCTACACATGAGATTCTCAATCACTAGGATATCTTCTACAATGGTCCGGCAGATGTCCACACATCTGTAAATGCTGTTTAGTTTGAGTTAAACAGGTAGTTCTAGAAGATTAGTTTCTTCTGAACACTTTCTCAGCAGGAATCTCTGCATCTCGACGTTTCACCAAAAGCTCAAGCAGGCAGGGTCTGGTTAGAAGGCACTTCGACATGAAGGGACACCAAGGACATATTTAAATTGTCCTCCAGTTTCACATCAGCAGCTTAATTCCAATTTTCTCCTTGTAGTCCCTGTAGGCCGTGTCAGTGCCACGGAGCTACAATACAGAGGTGTGTGACACATTTTCATCTTCATTCAAAGAAAACTCAATGACTCCGATTTAATTTGCTTAGTTACATCCTCCCGGCGCGGCCTCCATTGTTTCTCCCGATGTGTCAGGGCGACATCCTCGGCGGAAAGCGCTGTCACCGTCAAAGCACGGCGCCCCGGCGGGTCGAGACCCCACCAGCGCCGCACCTTATTGTCTGTCCTCACCTTTGTCTCTTTGTGCCTTTATGGACTGACACATCGGAGGGTCGCTCAGACGTGACCCGCTCCAGCCCGTCAGGGGAAACACCGCTCAACAAACGCGGCTCCCAAAGGAAGTCGTAAGGGGGGGGAGATGCAGGGGAAGCATATCAAACAAGGAGAGGTGAGCGCCCGTGACACTTCCAGCAGCTGAACTGCAGCTGCTTTAAAAAGGAAAATAATGAGATCCTCAGTCTCCAACACACTTGTTTCATGTTGAATTTGATTTGATGAGTCTGTGTGAGCTTTATCCTGCTGCCTCTCACAGTTCAGGATGATGTTGCTCGTCTGGAAGAGGCCTGGTTTACTCTCTCAGACCAGAGCTTCTCAAGCTGCCTATTCAGGGCTCCCAGGGACTTCCCTTGTCAGCTTGTTTGATTGTCGAGTTTGAGGAGATAGCTGTGTTCATACTACCGGATCAGGTGAAAATAAACTGATATATTTATACATATAAACATTGCTGTCACTGTAAATGGGAATATGTGGTTGGTAATTGGGCCACAGAAGACAAGAGAATAATGTTTTTTTTCCTAGTTTTTAACATCAACAAGAAGAAAAGTTTCAAATGCTGAGTACTTGACATTTCTGTATGTAATATAGTCTAACCTGCACACATTAAGAGGCTCAAGGTATTGGCAGATTTTAAAATACGGTATGAATTTCTGCCCTAAATAGCCAATCTCAGGTATGGCAGCATTTATTGTGATATTCTACAGTTTGATTGCTTTTTCGTTTCCCTATAAGTATTAACACTAGAAAGGCCAGAGCATTAAATTGACAGCTGAATTTATATTCAGCTTTTCAAATATTTCTATGTGACTCAATAGGAAGCTAGGTTAATGTCAAGATTTCTGAGCTGTTCAAAATCCTACTAGAAAATACATTTTGATCCTTTGTTGGAGCCCTCCGTCTGTAGGTCAGATGGTACAATATTTTAAGATGCATTCTTCTTTCTGTATCCAAAACTGAAAACTTAACTTTACAACTGCAGCACAAACTAGGCCAAAGACAACAGTCCCTTCAGCTTTTCACTGAAGTAAATTTTGTCCCGAGCGTTTTTAGGATCAGTACTGGGGCCTCGCTCGTCACACCCATCAACTCTGATATGCTGACAATCCCCTCATTAATTTGAACGGTGCAGCCGGGTTTGAAACACGAGAACCCTTCAACCATTTCCCTAATGGTCTGCGAGCCGGCCGACCCGGGCGCAGCCGAGTGCTCGCCTCCGTGGCGGAGCAGGGATGGTGTTAGAGGTCCTTTCACTGCGAGCTGAGCAGCCATGATGGCTAACCACCACACCAGAGGCCCCTTTGTTTCTCTTTTTTCTCACCCCAACACTTTACAAACAGCTAAGCCTGTCACAGTCCGACATCAAGGTTCAGTGGTCTGTCAACATTTACCAGCAGATAAAGACAGAGAGGGGAACATTCTCAACCCTGGAGAGCACATCGCTCCATCCGCAGAGTGTGTGTTTCAGAGAGAAAGTGTGTGTGAAAAGATACAGAGCGAGTACTTATGTGTCTTTTCTCAGTGACAGCAGCCAAACAGAAAACACTCATGCGGGGAGGAAGACGGCGCAAGTACATTAGAGCGCCCTGCCGCCTCCCTGCCTGCCCGTCGATGAAAAGTGACGATGGAAAGCTCTGACAAATAGGACCGGATCCCGCCTCCCCTGGGCTCAAAGCGAGCTGCATCTCGTTCTGCGGCCTGTGGGGCTTTTTCTCTGTTTTAAAAGAGGGAAGGGCTATCACAAGCTTCGCCTGCTTAGATGTGTTGAGACAAGAAGCTGGGGCAAAGATTTAAGAATCGGTTCTGAGACGCCCATCGAGGACGCCCGGACTAACAAACAACGAGGGGATTTGACAGAACAAAACAAGCCGGCGCTCTTTGAAACAGTCGGGTTGTGAGGACGCAGCACCGAGGGGGTTTTCATTTATTTCCAACTAATGATCTACCTACAAGAATTTATATATTTTCACTTTCACTGTGAAATTTGTTTGCTAATTGGGCCACAGATGACGAAGAGCTCTACAAAGTTTGTCTGAAGTTAGTCAAGCAAAATACAAATATTTGATTCAAACAGCGCACTTTACAGCGGCACCCTGCCGTCAAGGTTCAAAGAATAATTCAACTGCTCATAATTAGGTCGGACTGAATGAAGGTACACGGTAAAATGTGATACTTCATTGATCACTACAAGGGAGAATCTCCTCAGAGATCAGATTGAGCTCGAGTGTGTCCTGATGCAAATAGTTTAATTTACAACAAAGAAAAAAAAGAAAATCAACATACATATTGTTTGTATGTACTGGATCCACCAGAAAACATTAAATAATTCTGAATCATTACACAGAATGTGTAGATTATTGTAATAATATGATCAACATACTCTATATATGGTGTAATATGTTGTCTAATACCTCAATGTGTAGCATATACTGTCTGTGACTATAAACATTTCTGGAAGGTAATACTGAATTCATTTTTAAATGTTCTATAATCCATTATTAGTTGCATTTAAAACAATACTGTTGGATTTTTAATATATGATAACTAAATTATTAAATAATAATATTTTTAATCTATACAGTTAAAAAAACTCTAATCTGACAGCATCTCAAGCTGAGAAAATGCCATGAACTGAACAAAAGCAAATCTGCTTCATATGACGACCAAGCAGATTTGATGTAAATAAGACTGGATGACAGCTTTAATAATAAAGTGACAGTTCTGCATTTTACAACACTGACGACTCTTTGTGCTTAACACATTTCTTATGTTTTACTGTTGAAGTGGGGAATACAAAACTACACTGGTTATTTTTAAACAAACTTTGTACTGTTCTTTTAAAGAGAAATTAAAAGTTAACTTTCACCCTTCTTTGTGCCACCCACAGTTTGCGCTGTGTATTCTGCTGTGTACTCGATGTATTCAAGCTGTTGGTTAGGTTGTTTAGTCCACATGTACTGTATCACTCTAAAATATGTCCGCTTGTTTTGAAGAAACATGAGATTAAATGATCATTAATGTCTGATTAGGTCTTATTTACCCTCACTGAGCAGTTTAGAGAATGAATGGATGAAGCATTATCACATGAACTATGATACACAATAAACAGACCCTCTAATGGCCTTACTCCTTCATTTTACATTGCAATGGTTTAGATTATAACTAAATCTGCCAGATTGCTTTACGGAGGATGAGAAAGGATGACAGGGACAAATGTTTATGTCGGGGGCGAGGGGACAGATAGCAACAGGGCTGATGGGTACTGTGGTCTTAAATATATAATATAAAATAATAATATAAACACTACTTTTAGCACGAAGAGGTGGCTTTTTTTTACATATCTCACCTTAAACTCAGCCACTTGTTATTCGGTGTGATTCTGCTCACGTATCATGATTAATTTCACCATTATGCGTTGACGTTTTTTAACAGTTTAAAGATTTTTTAAATAATTGGCTTCATTATAATCTCAACACGTCTTCAATGTGCAGCATTTTTGTGTAAATTACGGCAGTTAACAATCTTTTGTTTCCTAAATGTCACAGTGAAACTCTTCAGACACTTACTGTACTCGGAGGAGGCATGTGAGGTGCAGGTCACATGATCCAAGTAGTCTTCGCCATCATCTTCTGGTTTCCACAGATGTGTCACCTGTCGGTGCGATTACAATCGTCCGCAGGCTAGACGATGCGGCCTGACTGCAGAAGACAAAAAGGCATCCGTCATCGCCGGTTTGCTGCGGTGTCGCGGTCGCTTCGATGTCACGGAGCTGACGTGACCGAGGCCTGGTTCGTCTCCCTGCAGCGAGAACAAGACAGGAAAAGAAGGCGGAGAATATCAGGGGTGGTTAATTATTTACTCAAATATCCAGGTTGAGCATTTTACATTTGGAAGAGCTCATTTAACTCTGCTACCTTACATTTGTCCCAGGTCAGATTCATTCAAATTCATACCACCTACAGAACCATTTTACAAGAGTAAATATGAATTACAAAAGGATCTGAGACATACCACAATCTTCTAAAATTAGAGAATTCAGTATATAAGATTAAATATTTCAGTCTCAAAACAATACAATTCTATGCAAATCAGTCTCATCTCATACTAACATTTATGGACAGCACTAAATCTAATTCTATGTAAATCTATGGTTGCCCTTGACACACCTCTACAGTAACTGACAACACATAATCCAGCATGCTTCTTTATAAAAGGTCACTGGAGTAAAGGGACCTTAAAGACTGTTGTTGACTGATACGTGTGGTTTTCTGCCTTACTGTAGGTGGCGGTTTTTGTGTGCAATGATCGCCTGAATGCCACTTCAAAAAAAGGTATTTGGTCACTATTATAAAAAAGGGTTTTATCTGTCTTTGCAGTTGATATTTCCCTCATATGGTCACACTGTCAGCAGCATAATTCAGTGTAGGAGATTGAGTGTATCCTTCCCAGCCGCTGTCTGAGCAGCTCAGTCAGCTGAACTCTGCTGGAATGTGATGGAGGAACCAGGTTGGGTTTCACGAGCAGGTGTCTGTTGTTTTTCTCCTTCGTGTTTCTCACACTGTTACACCACCTGTTCTCATCTCCACTCCTTCCCAGGTTTTTTCCCCCCCTCTCTGTGAAGGGCTGTACAGACCTCAGACGACAGGATGCACATACATTGAGCTTTGAATTTTACTGTATCAGGTGAAATTGTATTAGAAGAAGTGTAGAAATATTATCAAACGACATGTTTACCGAGTGATTTTTCCACCTTTTAGAAGATCATTTACTTCTTGCATCATCTTTTCTCAGTATATGTAGGACAGGGATGAGTTTTACAATGTACACAAGCACAAAAAAGCAATAAAAGCTCTGACTAAAACAGCTTTGGGAAATTGGAAATCTAAATGGGATGCTGTGATGCATACGATGACTTTGGGACATCCAGGTTTACATCAAGCCCGTTCACTCTCTTCTGCTAATAAAAACTCTTTAGGTAAAGCAGACTGCTACCTCCCTGATCACCATTATTTTGCAAAGAAAACAACAAATACAAGACCTTTAATATGGCTGACCAAAATTGAGATCCTAAAGATTATGTAAAAGTGCAGGAGTTGTCTTGAACTACTCAAATGCAGTGCAGCACATTGCCGACACTCCAACATGCTTCTAATTTAGTTACTAGTTATTATTTCCCTGCTCTGGACCAAAGGAGATACTTCTTGGAGAGAGAGAGTTTCAGGTCATGACAGAAGATGGAGGGGTGGGAGCGGAGTGGAAGAGGGAGGCAGGAAGAGAAAAAAAAGCATTTGTGATTGTCGGCGTGTCCGCCAGTGTTTCCCCTCTTTGCCCCGACACACTTTTCCATGTTGCGGGTGCGGCGTTGCACTTGTCAATGTATTTGTTCAAGCAACTCGGCCGTAGGTCCCTGCGAGGGCTGTGCACCGCTGCCTCCTCTCTCCCCCACGTCTCTTTTTAAAAAAGCTGTGGCTCTTGCTTGAATGCTCTCTGTGTCCATGCCCAGTGCCCTAATCCAGGGCCTGCTCTTCCTCTAAGCAGGGAGTTAACTTAATCCCTCTCATTTAGGCAGCTGCACTGCCGGGGAACTATGGGAAAAAAAAAAAGTTATAACTCTGTGACAGACACTTTCAGCTGTTGTGACGGCACCTCCCCGATTCAGCTGCCTTAACATGCAACTCTCACTCTCAGCCCGGTATTTTAATTTGGCTGTGAATAATGCATGGCGGGCTGTGAGCATGGAAGACATAGAGGGAGGTATGCATGGCTGGGGTGATAGCTGTGTGACTGAAGACAGTCAGTGTAAAGCAGGGCGAGCTGTAAAACACTGACTGGCATCTATGTGCAGAATGAGCTGACTGCCAACAGTAAATATGCTGTGAATGTAAATGGTCATTCCCAAAGACACCAACAGACATCAGTGTGACAGAGAGTTTAACTGGAAGAGTTTAAACGCCCCCCGTGATGTGACTGATCGCCAAAATAAGAGGAAAGTGAGAGTTGTTAATGCAGGAGGTCAAAGACCTTAACTCAACAGAATATACTGAAACGTCTTGGATAGCAACTAATGCCAAGTTTGATCTTAGAATAGTCGGTCTTTCATTTTTTAACTAGCCAAATGATCGTTTAGTCTATAAAGAGTGAAAGAATAATAAAAAAAGAGCCCAATGTGAAAACTTCCAATTGCTTATTTAGTATGGCCAACAATCTAAAACGCCCAAACTAGCAGCAAAAGCAGCAAATCCTCTCATTAGCAATGTGCAATCAACTAATCATTTAATATTTAATGCAAACAACCAGAAAGTGATCATTTTGCATGTCGAATATTTTAATGTGATGTATCATGGCCAAAAAATGTCAAAAATGGGCAATATATGAATATGCTTTTCATCTGAGTCAGAGCACCAGATTAAAAGGCACCCAGTGGAGTTTTGACCTACAGTAGGTGGTGGTACTAATGTGCCACAAATGCATCAAACAGCGACACCAATGTAAACAATGCACATTGACACATTGCAAGTTTAAAATCGGCACGTTTGTCTACAAGAATAATTCACAGGGTTTCATCAGTAAACCTCTGTAAATGTATAGCTGTATATTATAGCTGATAAAAGCCACACACAATAACAGTTGGCATGAAATACACCAGGTTTTCTAATGCTTTGCAGGACTTGTTCACAGAAGCAGAAAGCATAAAGTCTCTTTCCTATGAAACAACTTCACACCTCTGCACTGCACTTTGCAAAGATTCTCATTAAAATGGCCAGCGGGGGTCAGAAAACACAATTTACAATTTTCTGTAAACATCTGAGCTACTTATCCGTGAAAATTCCAACCTCACAAAACATTTCAGAGGGCGTCAACACCGGTCAGGATGCCTAGCTGCCTCCTTTATCCTTCGCCCACATCTGGCACTTCCAGCCTGCTGAACATTTGTAATGGGCCTCGATTAGAGCGCAGGACAGATACGGTAATAAGCCCTGGAACCTTGTCAAGAGAGAGGTCAAATCAGAAGACAAATAAATAGGAAATTGCTCCCTGCGAGCCTTCTCACTGTCACCCTTTGCTTGTTACCTTGAGCACTAAAAAGGTATTTATCTGACTCCCGCCCCGCTGTTTAAACAGGCGTCAGTGCTGCTCTGCGGGGCTTAATTGCAATCCGGTCTCAGGAGTTCACTTGGTGAAGTGCAGGTGCGGCGTCCAAGAAAAATAATTGAACAAACAATTATAATGTGAGTTCCCACACTGCCGGTTAAAGACAGAGCAGCTACAGGCTTTTGTACTGTTTAGCTTCCCTCCAGTCCAAAATATATCACTGCAGGGGTGTTGAAATGCTGCAAAGATCTATGCTTGACTTGTGTGTATTCTGGCAGTGAGGCTCTTGACAGTACCGTCCCTCCGCCCTGGGAAAGAATCTGCACCGTCCCTGCACACATCGCAAGACATTCACAGCCTCTCCTGGTGTCTTTCCGTCCAGAAAAACAAAAGGCAGAGTTCCTGTCGGCTGCACCTCGTTCACCGTCGCTGGCAGGAAACAAGCGCCACCTCGGGACATCAACACGCCTCTGGCCTCAGTGCTTCGTTGGTGGAAAAGATCCCGAACCCAAACATGCAGCGGAGACCCGACCGGCCCTTTGAGGTGCTCGTCACTCCTCGGAGCTCTTTGTTTTCGGCTCGTCCCATTGTTCCTCAGACGGGGAAATGTTTTTGTTAGATGACAAACGGTACGTCTTCACTGTCACTGGATTATTTTTACAGGGCAGATCCAGCGGGAAAGAGCTGGTGGAAAATGTTGAGCTTTACGAAAACATCACTAAGTCATAACAGGAGTTGATCATTCTTGTCTAAATTGTGAAGATTTTTGTTTTTCTGCAGATACCAAAATAATACTGAATGACTCGTTAAGTCAATATGTCAAAATGAAGACCTCAGTATCCTCATTTATGTCTTAGCTGGTACCATTTACACACTTCAGAGGCGCTGATTTTATACCTCTGGACAGAGTCAGGCTATCCACTTCCCACTTCAGTCTTGTTGCTAAGCTAACAGTCTGCTGGCCATAGGTTAAAAATGTACAGTACAGACAAGAAAGTGGTATCAATCTTCTCATCCGACGCTCAGCGAGAAAGCGAAATCGCTCTGTGATAAAGAAAATGTATTTAGAAGTAGCCTATTAATGATTAATTCCCCTCATGAATCATGCCACATGGCTCCTACAGCTTTCATTAGCATCTGTATCAATATTGGTGATTCTGACCTTGGTGTTTCTAGGTATCAGATCAAAACCAAGCTCACTTTTTTCTCTCACTCATCATCATTAATGCCTTTAGGGTGTCCAAAACTGTGGGCAGGCTTATTCCCCTGCTTTCAAACTGTGGCTTTTTATGCATCTTTGCCTTTAAATGTGGTTGAAGCTACCTGAAGTTTCCAATAGTGACCACATTAACATTTCTAAGACACTTTCTATAGAAACTCTTCTATCTTCTTTTGCTGATCCATGAACGACTTTACTTGTGCCTTTGATTCTCTCTTTCACAAACATGTTTGCGAGCAAGAAAAAGTTTAAAAACTCACTTTTTGAACATTTCTGAAGATATCAGCTCTCTGGAGGCCCTAACTTTTTAAACAGCAAACATTTTAGACGGCACATTTTCTTGCTTTTTTGCCACATTTTCAGCAAGGAACACCAGGTTATGTGTTCAAACTGTTTTGGAAGCAAACCCTTCAGATGAATCTTCAAGTTTGCATTTGCTCAATCAATCTGATTTCTACTCCACCGGCCTCCCCGAGGAATTCTTCTT